AGCAATATGGGTGAGAAAGCAAAGCTACCGGGTTTCCACTCATGTCACCCTGGTCCACAAAGCACAAATAATGGCAAATAATTACCTGTGTTGTTTAGGCAAAGCAGCACAAAGCCGAGTTAAAGCAAAGGCTGCACCTGTCTGCACCATCTGAAGGAAAAGGAGGACAAGAGGAAGAAGCCACATTGCCCCATGATGACCTGCCGTTGCCATCCTCCGAGCTCACTGTGCGTCTCCCATTGGTTTCTCTGCAGGGCTCTGGGGCAGCTGCTAAATGAGAAATGCTACAGTGCAAAGGTCATTAACTCACGAGAAAACAAAACCTCTAAGAGCAAAGCCTGGGCTCAATGTCAGCACGGGACAATGTTAAAACAGAAAAAAGCCACTATGCTGCAGCAACGCCACCCTGATAGCTTGCAGGTGCCTCAAGTCAGCGAAGCCCCTCTCTCCTTCATGGACAGCGTGGAGTTGGGTTTGCCACTGAGGCTGTGACACCGGTGTATTTGACTCCTCAGGAACAGGGGAGTCCATAAACCAAGGCAGGTTCTGCCTCAGCAGAATAACACGTGGTCGCATGTTTAAACTTGGTTATGCTACCGAAACTCCAGATACCAGACTGCCACTTGGTGATCTCCTCTGCAGGACCATGGTCTACCACTATCTCCTTTCTCCCTGTCTGCTGCAGGTGGCTCTACATCTTCAGGAAATATGGACAAAGCCTCCCTAAAAGAGCTTTACTAACCAGGCAGCAAGGAGCTAGAGTAAGCAAGCGATCTGACTGTTGCCCATGCCCCAAGGAAGACAGAACAAGAGCCAGAGCTTTGTGCCTCCCGCAAGCTGGGCAGAAGCAGGAAAGCATCTCAGAAGTGAGGAGTAGCTCAGGGCACCAAATTTGCAGACCTCAGTAAGCGTATTGCAAAGATGTTGCCTCCTAGCTCTGGTAGTGCCTTAGGAAGTAAGTAAAGCACAGAGCTAATCAGAACAAGAGAGAACAAGGGGAAAATTCAGGCTTTTTTCTGGGCTAGGCCTATAAGGTATTGCACAAGGTTTTGGTCTCTTTTGTTCCAGACCACTGTAGTTTGAAGTGCTTTAGGTAGGGGGAAATTGATTGTCATGCTGGTAGGTGAAGCCTTTGAAGGCAGTGGAGCTGGTAAGCAGGTACCCTGTACAGATTCAGCAGGCTGGATGGGGCCTCTGGGACACACAGAATCCAGTCTCCGTCAGAAGCACCAGGCCAGACCATACTTTCACAAATTCATCAATTCCTACCTTATTCTGGATGGATTTTTTTTTTCCTAGCCTACACCACTCCATGGGGACAGTTGTTGACAGGTCCTTTTGGTCTGGGGCTGTGCCTATAGAAGAGAATCCTGTCAGGTGAGTCACCTATGTCAGGGAGCAGTAAAGAGGAAGGAAAACCTTGCTTGTTACTACTGTGCTAGCGCAGGTCACAAATGCATGACCGTAACAGAGACCCTTTGCTTGTGTTGCTCACCTGGAAGCACAGAAAACAGGGGCTGCCAAAACCTCCAGGATCACCCAGCCCAGCTCACTGAGCCAACAAGGGATCACGTTTACCTCTGCTATTCTTGGCATGTTGGCCACGGCTCCAGCAAAGGATCCTTCTGGGAAATTGCTTCCAGCTGGACACCGCACCTGCAGAAGTGTGCTTTCCTGCTGTACAGTAGGATACCATAACGAAGGCCAGCTTGTCCACCTTCGTTCCCTAGGGCAGCCCCCATCGTGCTGCACGCCTGACAACTAGTTACCTCTCCTGCTCTCAAAGACTACCAATATCAGAGACTTCACTGCCCCCAGACAAAATCTATTAGAGGGCTTTTCTAGTCACAGAGTTAGAAGATTTTCCTTGAGATCTTCCTTTCCGTGAAGATCTGATTAGTCCCTACATCTCTGCAGCAGCCTTGTGCACACGCGAAGGCTACAGCTATGTTTCTCCTCAGGCCTTCTCTGTTTTAGTCTAAAGAAGCCTAATTTTTTCAAAGCCCAGTGCCTCATGCACAAGAGTCTCTTGCCCAGATACATCATCTTGGACTAGGCCTGAGCAATGTCCTTCGTTTTTATTATTCATATTTTTCCTTTGGAAAGGACTTACTTACCATCCTTCCTTTCTTCCCTTTCTTCTCAGGACTGGCTTTTCCTTGAAGGCTGAGTAAGCCTGAGCACTAGAGGGTAGGTTAGAGCTTCTCCTTCCACCATCCTTGGTAAATGTCAGCTCTTGCCTAAACCAGCAGCGTTTGCTGTGAGGAGTTCTGGTATTTTAAAACCCACCAGTTTACACAGCAGCTGTGTGCTGTACCTCTTGCCTGGATTTTACCATCTGTTCAAATTTTGCGATGTGAAATTACCCCAAAACAATTAGTCTGCATTAAAAAGTGTGCTTTAATTCTTTCTTTTCTTGCAGGCCCTAGAATTGGTTACGGGCTTTGGTAGGAGGCCAAGATGCCAGCAGATGTTTCACTCGTCCTCTCAGCGTGGCAGAGGCACTGTTACAGAACGAGGAACGAATATAAAGCCCTTGAGCCTCAGGCACTATAGGCGCCATGGCACAGGATGAAAGGCTCTCTAGGAACCCTTTTCATTTGTAAAAGACAAATAAACTCCAATTGCAAAGCCCAAGGACAAAGTCTCTCATACTCTACAGAATAATGAGACTCCTAAGCACAGTCATGTTGCATACAAACATGGACTTTCATCACCCTCTTGCATGCTCATCTGTTAAACCAGCTCTCTGCCTGCTCTCAAGGTGCTACTTGGCTTGACAAGGACGTATATACACCACCAGCTAGTAAAACCCTGCTACTGCCACCACTGCCAGAGGAAGGTCCTCCCCTCAGCCACCACACCACCTTATATAGTCCAGTCTGAGTTTCACGTCAGTCCTCAGGCTTCACTGAAGTAGAAGCATGAGTACGTAAATAGGACTTAGGTAAAACACCAAGGCCTGAGGTTGCCCCTTTGAAGAGGGATGTTTCACCCTGATGGAGCACAGGACAGGCTACCAGCAGGACAAGGGCTTCGAACAGGAATCCAGTGGGCAGAAGCAGCCAGGGAACAAACATTGCTGAACAAACATTGAAGTAAGCCCACTGAGGGTTTATACAGGTGGAGGAGACCATCAAGCTGGGGTCACTGACCCGCAGTCCTTCCTGCCCGCATTTACTGCTGACTGCAGCAATACCTTGCTGCTGTGCGGAGTTGTATTTCTAGTTTTTCAACCTGGTTTGCTCACATCACCTGTATATGAAACGAGCCAGTACCAGCTCAAACCCTAAGAGCAGCACGTGTCTGGTGAAGTTCAGTGTACCTCAGACAACAGGGGAGCATAACAGAGTGGAAGAGCCTTGGAAAGGCCTAGAGCACATGATGTACAATAACAGGCTGAGGGGTCTGGGTTTGCTCAGCTGGGGAGAGCTGGGGGATCTAACTGCAGTCTTCCACTGCCTAAATGGGGATTAAAGCAAAGACAGAGCCAACCATTTCCCAGAGGTACCCATAGAAAGAAGACAAGGCAGCAGTCAGAGGCTGCAACAAGGAAAATTCCAATTGGACATGAGAAATTTTAGCCATGAAGAGTGCTAAAGCACAAGAACAGGTTGCCCAGAGGCTAACAAAATCTCTGCCTCTGAAGTTTTTCAAAACTTGACTGCACCGGACCCTGCACAACCTGCTCTAACTTTGATGTTAGCCCTGCTTTGAGCATGGGGTTGGACCAGATCACTGTCATCTGTCCCTTCCATCGTAAATTTGTCCACGATTTCTGTAAGTAGGACTGAAGCTGAGGAGGTTTAAACAATGATCTACGGAGGAACACTACTCCACATACAAAAAAAAACATCAGAGTATGGAGCTTCTGCCTGGAAACCTTACAGCACAGATCATAGCATAGTACCTGAACAGCGTACGTGTGGGAAATCCCTGGTTGAGTTTGCCTCTTTCTAAGAAAATTAGTATCTTGGCATCTAACTTGCCATTTATGAACCTCTAGGCCAGGGAAAGTCTTTTAATCACTCCCCTCCATTCTCTACCTCCTCAGCAGCCTTGACATAAGGTAGGTGAAATCTGTCAGATGTATTTCTTTAGAGACATTCACTCTTTTTTCACTCTCAAATGAGATTTTTGTCTTCATATATTTGTAAGTTGATGGAAGAGAATAAATAAATAAAAAAAGAACAAAAAAGAAAGAATGTTTTATTTCAAATGCTGGTGTACATCAATATTGCACCTTACAGAAACACCTAGAATAAGTACACGTGCAAGGAGCTTTCCGAGCCCCAGCCATACGCAATCCAGAACATGATACAGAAAACAGTGAACATGCATATATTTTTTTTTCTGATGAGCAGAACAGAAGTGTTCAAATTAAACTAAAGTGAAGTACAATCCATATAAAGCAAAACCCCATTTTAATTAGCTGCTGTGACGTAAGCAGTCAATTTTGTGGAACATGCGGTTATTTAGCATCACATGTTGAATACCTACTTGTGTCTCAGCTTTTACCAAGCAAGCTTCCCTGCTCCCTTAATCTTCTAAATACATCTCCAGGGTAGAAGCCAAACAGCTCTAGTAACAACAGACTCCCTACTGAGCCAGCTGGCTGCAATATGAGGATTAACTGAAGTCCTGTCCTTCCCACTTTTCATCATGATTAGTGGAGGCTCATATTATGTCCAGGAGCCTCTGGTGGAAGCACTTGGGCAAACAGACAGGAACCAAAATGGCAATACAAAAATAACCAAACAAGCAAACAAAAGGCCCCACTGAGCAGCCATTTTGTTTGGGGAAAGCCCCTCATTGTACAAATTCAAAATAACATCATCAGCAGTCTGCATATACATGCTTAAAGCCAGGAACAAGACAAAAAGCAGCAGCACCATAACTTTAAGCAATCAGCTCTCAAAACAAGTTTAGCAGATGTGAATAAAGTTTCCATTACAGAAACTGCACCTTGTTAGCTAACAGAAGGATCAAGAGCCACACCGCTACAAATTTTGTCTCATGACCATTTTTACCCATCGTAAGAACCTGGAAAGTTTGGTATAGACACCATATTTGCCTTTCTTTGCACATCCTTCTCCCCAGCTAACAATTCCAGTAACGAAATAAGTATCCTTATATCTGGTTACATGGGGTCCTCCACTGTCTCCTTGACAAGCATCTTTTTGCTCTGTTTCATAACCAGCACAGAACATGTTTTCTGTTATCGCAAAGTTAGTGGATTGCTTGCAAGTGCTCCTATCAACATAGGGGACTTCAAGCACTTTCAGTTTTTTGGATAGCCGTCCACCTTCAAATTCACGCCCAAAGCCACTAACCATCCCAGATCTTTGGTTCATCAGAACTTCATTAGCAAAGTCTGCTTCGGGAAGGCATGCTGCGACAATGTACTCAGAAAACGTTATAGGTTCCTTCAGCTTTATTAAAGCTATGTCATTATCGTAAGTCTCGGCAATGTATTTGGAGTGAACAAGTATTCTGTCCACGGTATGCATCGTTTCAGAGTGTTCTTTCTTTTCTCTGTCCACTTCACCTGTACAAGATTATTAAAAGGGTCATTAATATGGAGATAGTATAAGAAATTAAGAACAACCTTGATAAAGGAGGAGAGTAGTACACCCATTGCTAACACTTTGCCTAAACCCTTATACCATACAAGTAAACTGCAAAAATGTACTGCAATATTTATTAGCAGCACCTGGATCAGCTTCAGTTCCGGGCTTTTGTCTATGGAGATTTTTGTACCAGTTTACATAAAGCCATAAACCGATTCAGCTAAACTAATGCAACTTTGGGTGGAAGCTCTTACAGGAGCTTGAGCCTGGCTTATCTCAGGGAAGAGAAACTGGTCTGGATCAAGGCTATATTAGGGCAAATATAAAGTTGTGGTGATCTAATATCTTGCCTCAGAAGTGAAGCAGTCATAATTTGACTTCGCTTCTTCTTCCTCTAGTCAATGTGTCATAGCTTTCCTGGGTGTTCCTGCAGAAACAACTCTGTATGCTTCAGATGTGCCAGGAATGATAAGCTTTCTGAAGAAGCACTACTCTGATGAACACAATGCTAGCCCATGCTTCTAGAACATTTGCTCTTCATCACTTCCAACTAGCTGGCAAAGAAGAAAGGGATGCACTATTATCACCTTCCACATCAGCTGCCCCTGTTCTTACAAAGCAGGACTCCCACAATAACGAGAAATTATAAAAAGCAAAACAGCAACAAAAAAGTAACAAACCATAAAAAATAAAGTATTATGAGTACATCTCACATGAGATTTAGAGCACAGAGGATTAGCCTGCAACATACGCTCAAACATCACAGGAGTAAAATAAACATCACTTACCAACAACAACTTTGATTTCTTTAGATTGGTTCATGCAATGAGCTGCAGTAAGTATAAAATTTTCATTCAAAATAGTTCCACCACAAAACTCTTCCCCTGCCTCATTTAACAGAACAGCCTGTGAAAGAAAACAGGTAAGTGCAGAATTAAGAACAGTTTAACGTCAATGAGCTATAACCAGGTAATTGATTTCTCTGCACACTACATGTATGCTTATTACTGCAACACATACTACCCTGCAGGTCTCTCCTAATATTGCATTCACACACGCGTATGCTACAGATCGGCATGTACTGCTACAGAGTCTCAATTGTTTTTAGGTGAAGTAGATGTTTGGTTTCCATGTTACCTCACTCACAGTGCTCAGTAACATCTTTCAGGAACAAGACACTGACTGACTGAGCAGGGAGAGTACAGCCCCCAAATCACCCCATCCCTTGGGCTTACTACCCCAAAGAATTCCTCTCCAAGTTCTGTTCCTGTTTGACCCCCCCTTAGTGTCCCGAATACAGGAACTCATTTTGGCTGGTCCAAACTCAAGAGGAAAACTTAGATATGAAAGCGTATTTGTGAAGCAAATGTATGCTATATCTGACATGCTCTCAGGTATACTACCTAAATGGACCGCTATCAGGCAGAAACGGAATATAAACTGCAAAAGTGACGCTGGTCGGCTGGCATGACTCAAAAGCCCTCTCTGGTGACAGGTTAAGCAGCACCATCTAGAATTGCACAAAGCCTTTCATTTTGAAATTTATGGCTGCAGTTTGCAGAACAGCACATCTAAGTGCCTAGGGTCACGCAACTCGGCTACCTCCGGCTACAAACGGCGTACTCCATGGGTAACATTCAGAAGGCAAGCAGATTAAATGAACAATCGCACACCTTCCCTCAGAAACACGTCCCGCTTACACGCAGAGCACAAACACCAGACTTACCTGCCATGGACATTCACCAAGAAGACACTCATCACCACCTACTATCCTGGTATTGACATACTGAGTCTTGCTACTCGTCTCATTGCGAGGACGGGGGGTTGGGCTTTCTGTGGTAGTCACAATGTCCTCCTCCAAACTTGTTGCATTTGTAGGAGGGACATCTTGATCACTAGTTACGTTGGTATTATCGGTGGGTAAAATAACTGACCTTTTTTTTCTTTTCACAAAGACTTTTCCACAAGGATACTTTACTGTAAAGACAAGAACATTAAAATTAGAGAAGGACAGAAACACCAGCACAAGAGGAAACTCCTTGACAACACCATCTCACAATAAATCAGTTAATGCAGCTGTACTATTTTCAGAACACTAGCAAAACCCTGGCAGATGCAACAAAGGAGGAAGACTGGATGGTTTGAAAAATGAAAACCATTTTGTAATCCTAAAACTTGTCCATAGGTTCAGTCTCCGGACAGTGTTTTCAAAGTATTTAAAACATCATCTTCAATTGTTTACATTGCTATATTCATGCAGTTGCTCTTACTAAAACCATCTTAATTAGGAAACTAAGTGTTTTATTTTAGGAATAATATGGCTCATGACAGCAATTTCTTATTAGTTACAAAGGATATAAAAATCATCATCATGAGTATATTGTTGACTTATCCATCCCGCCAGTTTTCTTGAAATACAACAAAAAGGCACAAATGTAAATAGCATTAATCCTAATTATTTAATGTCATCAGTTACTATTTGATTAGGTTAACTGAAATCTAAAGTAGAAAAGTTTTGGCAAGCTGCTATTTTATATGGAGTGTAAGTTTTTAAGTAAATAAGATATAACTCCAATCACTTTTCTCCTGTGAAGAGTGGAGTTCAGTCAGGTAATGCTGTGAGAAGCACCCTGCAAAGGGTTCCAAATCAGCTAGATTTTGATAAGTCCATCACATCACCTCACACATGGAAGGCTTTGGAAATACAAATCAGCTGGCCTCAGTGTTAAATCTATGTCATGTAGAATACTGATGGTTCAAAGACATTCTTTAACTGTGAAACAGGTCTCGCCACCATTAGTGGTGAGCTATTAGTTTATTACGTGGCTTCATACCTGATGAAACACAGCGTTTGCCATCCTCTGCTAGAACATACCCTTTTGCACAAGAACACAAAACATCCTTCTGTACGCTTTTTTTGATGCTGCAGAACTGCTCACAGTCACCATTGTTTATTTTGCAGTACTTTGGTATGACTATAAAAGAGATAAGTTTGGAGAAAAACTGTAAATAAACAGTGACTTCACAGGAGATCTTGGAAGTTCACCAAATTAAACCGCACTCTTTAAACAGCACTCCACCTGTAAAACACCTGAAGCACATCTTAGTAACAACACCAGTGGCTAACAAAGCAGTCGCATGCACCGCGTGAAACATGCTTGCCAAGTCTAAGTGGGCCCGGTGGCCATGTCATGGCGAGCTTAAAAACGCAGAGACAAAAGGACAGTGGAAGAATGGATAAAACACTATCAGAGAAGTCAGATATTGGTAAATCCTTGCACGATTCCTCCCTCCTGCCTTAAAAAACTCAACTCCTCATCACTGCCCTCAGTCCTGTGTCTGAACTTCATTTCCACACCTGTTTACTCTGGGTGCACCACTCTTACTTCTGGGCTACCGATACATGCCCCAATGACATCATTAGGGTAGTAGCTGTATGTCACAGAAGTGAGACTGAGGAAGGATTTATATGCAAAAAATGATTCCTTGCAAGGCTGAGGAGTCTGCATTGTCTACAGAAATCTGCTGTCTTTGGTTCTTCACTGCTGTGAGCTGAGCAGGGAGGCTGTACTTCTGTACTTGGAGTAAAGGCTCTTTGATATCAGTTATAAGAATCCTATGCTTCTTAGTTGTATCATCATGTTTTGGGGATTCAACCCCATGTAAAGAGGTACTATCATAATTAAGAGGGCCTTCTTTGGAGTAAGTGTAACTTCAGAGCATTCACAGTTGGACGGGGCTCTGAGCAACCTGATCTAGATGAAGATGTCCCTGCTCATTGCAGACTAGATGACCTTTAAACTAGACTAGGTGGACTAGATGACCTTTAAAGGTCCTTTCCAACCCAAACAATTCTAGGATTCTAACACTACCCAGCTGTAGAGCGACCAGGGCTTTGTGTTTCTGGCACTGTCCTCCAACTCATTGTTGACTGCCATCCTATTCTATGCATTTTTCCAAGAGGCAAATAATGCTCCTTAAGAAAGGGTTAACTCTCTATGTTTCAGTTCCCTGGGAAATTCACTGCCACAGTTCTCTAAAGCAGAAACCTACCAAATTCACAGTTCTTGCCTTGATAACCATCCAAGCATGAGCAAGTGTAGGAACCAATTCCATCTTTACAATGTCCACCATAGTGACAAGGATTTGAGCTGCACTGGTCCCCATCTACAAAAACAAACCAAAAAAACAAATTACTGTAAGAGCGCAAGCATTTTCAGTGAACTCTGAAGGGGTATTAGTGTAATAAGCAATCTTTCATCTTTCCTTTTAAAAAGTATGCCCTGTGAGTTGCCACATTCCAGATGGAACAAGGAGTATAAATGCAATCATTCCATATCAGCGATGATTCATACACATATCCTCAGTTTTGCAATCTGTTTTTGGTGGCTACCGTATGACAGCACATACACAAGCCTTTTTTTGTAGGAAGATAAAGTAATACTTCATGGTCAGAGTAAATACATCATTTACAGCGAAGGGTGTAAAAGCAGACAGGACATTTCTACACTGCAACTGCTGTCTGAAGCTATGAACCTTTTGGCCTCTTGCACTTCCCTACAATTTCCACATAATAATGACAACTCAACTTTTATTTCTTTAAAGGTCATCTCATCCCTTGTGCATGTCTTTTGCCTGCAGTGCTGTTCATTTAAAGGAACAAACACCAGCATATTAATCAGAAGATTAAAAAACTCAAAAAAAAAAAATGCTTTAAAAGCCCTGCTAAATCCACCTGTGCAGGCCAAATTCCTGCTTTGTGCTGCTTACAGTACCAAAATTGTCCCGTTGTATCCACTGAGGTATGAGCTTGAGCTTCAAAAAATTAGCTCTTATCTCACGCTCCCCACATCTATGCTGGGATCTCCCACATTTGAAATGTAGTTCTGCAGCCTTTCTTTCCTTCCGTGACCTGGGCAAAACTGGCTGACCTGACTCCAGGGCCCCAGCCACATGTACCTCATAAGCTCAGCTACACGTAGGACAGTGAGGCTGCACCGCGTTTGGAGACGTGTTCCACGTAGCAGCCCTTTCTCCCACCCCTGCAAAGGTATCTCGCTCCGGCACTGGTGCTTGTGGCCATGGTCTCTCCCATCTAGGAACTTGCTGTAACAAATGCATTGCCCCACCACATGACATTGCTGGGCTTTTCTGCACTGGTCGATAAGAAAAGCAGGATATCCGGAGAAGTGGCACTTGCTTAATAATAATTTGTTGCTTTAGATACACGCTCTTCAAATTTCTGTGTTTACCACCTGTTCTGCCCCTATTTGGAGCAGCTGGAAGAACAGCAACGCCCACAGAGAAGACAAGATGCAAGAAGCTGCTCATCCTAAGGATCCAGCTTGCCACCTGCATGGCGGCTCTGGCCTGTGACCTCATCTGCTGCAGCTTTATCTGTCACAGGGAACATCTGCCAGGCTTTGTGTACTGCCCCCATGCCTCAACACCCCTTCTGTACCCGCACTGGCCAAAACCAACAGTGCTCCAAATCCTGCGTCTGCGTGGTCCACCACAGAGGCATTGAAGACTGATGACCATCCTCAACAGAGGAAAGGCAAGACCACCTTTAACCAAAAGAAAAACAGACTCGAGGCCTGCAGCACAGCTCCTGGTGTCTGCCTCCTCTGCAGTGCCAGAGCACTCCCTTCTGTAGTGGTCTTAGCTAAGCAGTCATCCTACTGTTAGAAACCCTACTTCTTTAGTTTTTTCCTACACTGTAGTTGCTGCTGTGGTAATGAGTTCTGTATCAATATTGCACAAAAGCATTGCAGAATCCCCTACTAAAAAAGGAAGCAAGAATGAATTGTTCTAGTAACTTGGCTGAGGGTAGCTGTCTTTTTCAATACTTCTGAATACCAATAAAGCATGCGTGGACTGTGGTTTAGAATGTATGAAACTGGCATTTCTGCTAAGAGCACTGGCACTGATGTTCTGCTGCTTGTATTCTCATGAGAAAATGGTTTCAAATTTTCCACTCCTGTTCACTGCAACACTGACGCAGGCTTTGCTTGAAATTTCAGCCTGTAGGTTGCAGAGATCATCCCCTGCTTAGAGGATTGTGAAAGCCTGCATCTTCTTCGTGGCAACTGTCTTCAATTTTCTGCAGACTCCAAGAGACAAAGCTGAGCTGTCTTTGGTCAACATTTTTGAGGTACTGCTTCTAACACGCAAGCTAGACACATGCTTTCAGGAGAACACATTAACGAACACTAGTACATTAGAAATCTGTCCCTGCATAGTGATTACGAACACTAGAACCCTAATAAATACAACTCAGTTCTTCAGAAAAAAACAGAAAAGACTGATGGGTAGTATCTGCTAATCTACTGGCATGTCTTCCTTGAATGCCAAACAGTTCTGCAGAAAACATATCCCACAAAACGCCCTACGATACAGGAATCAACAACACTCTGGCATGGAAGGTGACATGAAACTGGCAAGCGACTGTGCAATACAGTTGGCTATGGCATTTAAGTGCCATCCTCACCTATGACTCTCTGTATCTTGAATTCCCCCATCCAGGGCTGCCCCTCTGGAGGACAACTGACCAGCAGAGTCACACACCCAGTTTCTGCCTCTCACTGTCCTCTGTGTGCAAAGGGCCACTATTCTTTTTTTGAGAGGACAAAGATCATCCCAGCAATTGGAGGCAGCTGAACCTTGCCTTCAAATGAAGCGACTGGGTTCAAGCAACAGCAAGGCAGTAAATCAGATTCCTTCTTCAAAGGAAACACAAAGTGAGGGTGTCCCACAGTGGAAAGAGAGGAAGCAAGGGAGGAAGAAGTGGTTACTTAAGAGGTGCATCCTTTTTAACCTTGCAATAAGGAAGCTTAATTCTCTAAACAAATGCAGAGTGTTTCTTACCTACATAGATGTTCCAGAATTCCTCCTATAGGTAGGTGTGGGAAAAGGGGAATAAAAGGAGACAAAAAGAGTTAGATGAGAATTACTGAATTCTTCAGAAGAATATTAGAGCTTTCATACAGAGGATACTTGCAGCTAACAATTGTTAAAATAAATATTTAAGTTACAAGCACATACAGTGCCTTGCAGCCTGCTATTACCATTTAATAAATTAAAACCATATGATCCATCATAGTGCCCAGGTCTACAGAAACAAGTCTCATGCATTTTTCAGAAATATCTAAAACTGTTTAAAGATTTCCTAATGTGACTGACTCAGCATAAGGCACTTGATTTCTTGCATAACTGTATCTTTCCATCAGTTTTGACTGAATTTACTTACATTCCTGTAATGCCAAATTCTCAGTCTCCATCCCCCCCGCCCCGTAGCCCCATCAATCAGGACCTCAGAAATCCTGAGATTTAAAAATATTTTGTCCTATTTGTGTTCTTCTTTCCCTCTGCACTGAGGACTCCAGGCATGCTGTCTGTACAAGACAGTCCTTTTCAAGGACAGCTGGTCACCAGGCAGAACAGGCTGTGCTGGTTCTGCTATAGATCAGCCAACCTTTATGCTCTGAAGCACCCTGGTGATGCACCCATGACTCCCCACCCAGGCCATCTCAGGGCCACTCCAAGAACATTCTGGCCGTCAAGTAATGCTAAAGTGAAATCAGTCTGGCCTTAACTCCAGTTTCAGGGGTGTTCTTAACAGCCACATAGCCACAGCCGATGTTCCCAATTCCCCTCCACCACCAAGTCACTTCAAGTTTTCAGATACCACCTTTTCTACTCACCCCAGTCCCCATAGTTGCCCCATCTCTTTAACTCTCCCTTGAGCTTGGGAACAGATGGCATTTCCGTCTAAAGTTAAGCAGCCATCAGGGTAGGGAAGGTGACACAAGGGTGACATATACAAACTTCATTCCATGTGGGCAATTTAACATTATGGCATATGAGAACTGTCCACGGTATACATTCTGTCAATTCAGCCACCGAAAAAGAGAGCTACAAAATGATAAGCACTGCAAAGCTGCTTGAGGTGAGTTCGGCAACATTCTCCCATGAAGTTCCATGTCAGCATTTACCTTCTCAGCCTTCCCGTGGACTCTCCACCTAAGAACTCTTGAACATAGTCATGACACTCAGCTATGCCACCCAGATAGGGTGGACGTATTTCTAACACAGGTAGTATCAAATCATTTAGAGGTCAAATACCTCACAATGGCAATTAAACAGATCAGAACAGGTAAAAGAATGGAGGCTTTAACATGGGCTGGCCTTGCAAGACCTAAATTAAGTCTGTTATTGTATGCTTATGCCTTAGCAATTCCAGCCACAGTCAAAACCACTATTTATTCTTTGTGTTAAATGACTGAGAGCAACTTGTAAGTTCTGATGACCAGCTCAAAAAACCTTAATACTATTTTATAAATGTGAAATATATAGATTTATGTTTCATATTAGTTCATCCTTACAGTTTTCTCCTGGTCTTCAAAGGCTTCTCTTGCTTCTTCTTTTGAGCAGCGCTCCTCATTGCATTCTCTTTCAATATTCCCTTTCCTCATTTCCTCCAAAAAAGAGTTAGCACGCTTCGTTCTTTCCAAGAACTTGTCGGCATTTTCTTTCTTGATGAATACTAGACAATAGAGAAAATGATACAGGTGGCAAGTAACATTTGGTGGTGGTAAAGAGCCATTAGAAATAAGAGAAGTGGAAACAAAACCAAAACAGACCCTCTCACCACTCTACCCGTCAGCAACATCACCTGTGAGGTCAGTCTTCACAGACTGATACATCTCAGGATCTCCCCTCTGAGTCTCTCTCTGAGAATCACTGACTCCGGGACAAACTGTAGGTGCCAAAAATTCCCTCCTACTGTTTTTAGTCTTGAAAACAAGAACAGTCAGGTTGCTGCTGAGGGCTTATGCTCCTGCTGCA